CCACCAAGGTTCACCAGGACGAGAGACGGAGACAGGATACCCACTGGCATACCAGCCGACCATCCTCACTGCAACTTCGTACATGGCCAACTCGCAGATATCCGCGATACAGAGCGAAGGCAGTACATATTTGAGGGCGGTCTGCGACTCACCTGCACAGGACACACGCAAATAACGCCACCACATCAGCGCGTGCCAATCTTGGCATTCAAGCCCAAAAGAGCCAAACAAGGCAGAGCAAGACCCGACGTCAGCTACGAATACACGCCGCCACCTGCAGCACGCATACCCAGACCACCTACGCAGTCTGCGCCGCAGCAACAGAATCAGCCGACGCCTCCCCGCAACCCATGGGCGCAGGTACCCGACCTGATATACGACGCAACCGAAACCGACACCAGTATGGACGACGACGATCCATGGGCCAAAATGGACGAAGCAGCAGACGCGCGCGAGTTTTACTTCACATCACTACCTCACAAATTCCACGGCATGCACTGCCCGAGCGATTGGGCAGCATGCAGCCACCACGCCGGTGACACTGACGCCGACGGCTACGACGACGACCGATGGCACTACGCGTTACATCACCACGAAAGAACCAAAACCTGAACGTACAGACTTCCCAATGACTCCATACGACTACCATAGTGGAACAGGCACCCGGACAAGTTCGACAATGAGCTCTTCGTGCACCAGGACGGGAACCAATACGTACTTCATCCACCATTGCGACCCGACTCAGGAGCCACGCCATCGACCTTCCAGCTACCGCCTACGACCGAAGCCAAAATTCCTCGAACTCGAGGACGCCACGCACGCCGACGCGTTCCAACCCCCCCAAAACCAAGCATCGCTCGGACGTGTGTATTTTTTTCTCGGCGAGGACCCTTGAGGAACATCCTGGACCATCAAGCGAAAAAAAGACGCACGAAACCGAAAAATGGAGCGACGGCAAGAAAACCCCAAGCCGACGGCCGTGACTCCTCTACGGCAAAGACATGAGCGCTTTTGTCAGCCATTGCCGCGACAACGCGGCGTTTCGTTTAGCACTAATGACTACCAGCCAATTTCCAAACATTGCTGACAGGCGGACGTGCGCCATTTCACCCCCACACGGTCGCAGCCATACAAGAATTAGCACAATGGTTTAACACATGCCGCGACGCGGGCAACAAGATGAAGTGCGACCGGGCGGTCAATATATACGACACGACAGATTTTCTACAAAAGATATGCAATCCGACTGCGGCTTCCAGTACTATCGGGACAACACAGACAACTACAGTACTAGCGAGGAGGACGCGCCGACGACCACTCACTCGACGAATGACAGACCAGCTACACACCCACCTGCCCCCCAAACAAACCACGGCCAGCCAACCCCATCACCGAAGAGCCACCACCACAGCATAAGACCAACCACGCCGTCATCACCAACAATATCGCAGGCACACCTGCCGCACCACGCACGAAGGCCATCACCACATGGTCACCCACAACAAGGGTCGCCATGCCCGTGCACCCACAACCTCCGACGCTTAAAATACCCACCGTCTGCCCGCTCTACGAAGACGTTCTGACACGACGATAGCTACAAGAGGTACCCATGCACCGCTGTGCATCACAGACATACGCCACCTTACAAATATACTTCCCATCTCAAGTACGCACGGGATTCCCAAAACACTAAAAACGCGCAACAAAACGAGACCGACAGCCGCGGACGCATCTTCGCGCGCTACACACGGGACCCATGCTTCCACGAGCACATCGACACAGTGTGTTCACACCAGGCACGATACGAGCAGCACCTTGCCAACATCCACATTCACAGCAACCATCAAGACATGGCCTCCAAGGAAGCATTGCCACATAAAGCACAGCCACGCATCTTCAAGGCACCACCAAAACCCAAGCCACAGACCAGCCGGCACGACAGCAACAACCACGCATGATTGCCCGCGCCGGGTGCAGCTATGCGCACCACAGCATTAGCATGCGGCAGGGCTACCACGACATCGACCACAAGCATCACCTGTTCGTCGACTGCCGCAGAGCATCTACTGATCATCCCCCCCCTACTCACGTCAGCAGGCCGAGGGGCCAGTGACAAGGAGGACAGTTCTAGCCATTCTTCTCCTTGCAATGCTGCCTGCGTCCACGCGCGACTTCATCTTCACGCGTCTGTCCCCCCCATCCTAGGCTGTTGCCCTTCTGGCACGGCGGCAGTGGGAGGCCATGACATTCCCACTATGGGCCACCGACCACGCACAGCTTAGCTTACAGCACCCCTCTCATCTACCTCCTCTGCCTCGATCTTACCCGCTCCAGCTCTTGCCTCTTGAACTATTTACCTCATTTGGTTCGGGGTCAACCCAAAAAACCGTGGGCAGCATCCCAACACTTCGCACTGGACGTCATTGTTTTTGGCTGCCAGCCACACTGTGCATCTGGGAGGGGAATGGGCAGTGGAGGATCTAAGAATGGGGTGGGCGGGCAAATGTGCACCGCGTTCGTTTGTCCTGCCTCACGTTTCTTGACCTTGGGACCCCCTGACCGACAGGGAGCGGCTCCACATACGTTTCTCAGGCCAGCCTTCACTGTGCCAGCCTTGATAGACAGCTCCGGCATCAGACAGTTCACTTTGGCTATGCAAGGGTCGCAGCCCCAGACTTGCGTGTTATATTATTTTTCGCGCACCTGTATGCATCGCCACCTCTGCTGAGCGGCCGAATCGATGCATGTGGGGCGGCGGATGCTCCTGCGGCGAGGTGGAGGGAGTGGTGGCGGAGGGCAGTCGCCAGGCCGTCAGCAGGCCGAGAGGCCAGCGGCCGTGAGCGTATTGCGCACGATCTGTTTGATGCCACACTGCGCTTAACATCTGCATCACTTTCGTCATTCATTGCCTCGCGCTGTTTTGCAACAAAAAAAAAAACTCTGGAGCACCGGCAGCCTGTCTGGATCTACATATGCTTCAATGGCTTCTGTTAAAGCCAGTGCACAGGCCAGCTTCGAGGCCAGCGCTACACCAAACAGATGATACACGGCTCGTGCGAAACCCAAAAAGAGTGTACGATCAGCAAGATGGTCCAGGGACCAAGGAGGCTTGAGGTAACCCAAAAAATCCTTGGGCAGCAACCCAAGAACTGCTACACTTTGTTATTGCCACTTGACTTGTTGTTTCCAGTCGTGTCTACGCATCAGGGAGGGGTCTGGGAAGTGTGGATCTTAGCAGGGGGGGGATTGGCAAATGTTCGCTACAGTCGCTTTTCTTGCCTCACGTTTGTTTACTTTGGGACCCCCTGACCAACAGGGCGCGGCTCCCTATTGCAGGCCAGCCCTCACGATGCCAGCTTTGATGGGCAGCATCAGCATCAAGATCAGCAGCTGGCTTCCACTAACAAGGGTAGCAGCCCCAGAATTGCATGTGCTACATATATGCATACCTAGTTGCGCGCGCCCATACGCATTGCCACCCTTGTTGCAAGACTGAACCGGTAAATGTTGGGTGGAAGATGTTTCTACGGCGTGGTGGAGGGTGTGGAGGCGGAGGGCCATCAGCAGGCCAGCGGCAGGCCGAGAGGTTTGCGACCTAGAGCGTATTACCACGATTTGTTTTAATTCGCACAGCTGCCTGGGCTCATTGCGCTTAACGTCTGCGTCATGTTCGCCATCCATTGCCTCAAGTTCTTTACTGTGGAACCCCCTGACCCCCCCAAAAAACGGCTCCGCCTACCAGGCCAGCCTGCAGAGCCAACCTTCCTTAGGCACCGAATATTATGCCTAACAAGGGTAGCAGCCCCAGAACTGCACTTATTCAAACTGATTGCATCTTACCAATCGAGGCGGAACTTACCACTGAATAGTATGGGACTTCGCATTGTTTTGGAAGTGGAGGAGGAGGGGCTTGTCAGCTTGTCACATTAAGGTACGTGCCGACATCTAACACCTGGCGGGCGCCTACTCCTTTTGCTATACTCGTCACAGCCTTATGCTTCAGCTTTTTTTTGTCGCGGCGCCCGCCAGGTATTTCGTGAGCTGGGTCGTGCACATGTTTCTGTCATGGGCGCTACAGCTGCACAGCTTAAGCCCGACCCACGTCAAACAAGAGGAGAAAGAGGAGGAGGAGGAGGCGGAGGAGGAGGAGGAGAGGTAGGCCCGATGGGAGGAGAGGAAGAGGACGAGGAGGAGGAGGAGGAGGAGGAGGACGAGGAGGAGGAAGAGCATGAGGAGGAAGAAGAGGAGGAGGAGGATGAGGATGAGGAGGAGAGGTAGGCCCGATGGGAGAACGTGAGGAGGAGGAGGAGGAGGGAGATGGGGAGAAGGAGGACATGGGGGAGGGGGGGTTGAGGAGGAGAGGAGAGGAAGGAGGAGGAAGAGGAGGAGGAGGAAGAAAAGAAGGGGGAGGAGGAGGAGGATAGATGGGATAGGAGGAGAATCAGAAGGACGAGGGAGGAGGAGGAGGAGGAGGAGGAGGAGAAGGAAGGTAGGAGAAAGAGGTGTAGGAGGAGGAAGAGGAGAAGGAGGAGAGAAGGAGGAGGAGGAGGAGAGGAGGAGAGGAGGATACTGAGGAGAGGCGGAGGAGGTGGAGAGGACGAAGAGGAGGACGAAGAGCTGGAGGAAGAGGCGGAAGAGGAGTAAGGAGGAGAGGAGAGGAGAGAAGGAGGAGAGGAGGAGGAGGAGGAGGAGGAGGAGGAGGAGGAGGAGGAAGAGGGGGTGGAGAAGGAGGAGGAGAGGAGAGGAGGAGGAGAGGTTGGCTCGATGGGATAGGGGAGGAGGAGGAGGAGGAGGAGGAGGAGGAGAGGAGGAGGGGAGGAGGAGGAGGAGAAGGAGAGAGGAGGGGGAGGGGGGGGAGGAGGAGGAGGAGGGGGAGGAGGAGGAGGAGGAGAAAGGAAAAGGAGGAGGAGGAGGAAAGGAGGACGAGGAGGAGGAGAGGAGGAGGAGGAGGAGGAGGAGGAAGAGGCGCGTGGCCCCGCCCCCCCCCCCCCCTGGCGCAGGAACTTCCTACCCCGCGGGACATGGAGTGGCGGGTGCTCAGTCGAAATACCAGGGCAACCCCAACTTCGGCTCGACTTGGCGGGCGTCTTCAGGGGCAGCAGTAAAGGTGACAGGTTCAGGGAGATGTATCGATTTACAACAGCTTATGCATCGCCGACTGGGACCCGACAGCCCACCCCGCCCAGGAGCATGCGTGTTCGTTACCGGATGCCTGTCGCCATTGTGTTGGCGGTGTACCGCCGATTCCAGCTCGATGTCCCCCCCTCTGAGCCAGTCCCCCCGGTACGCTCCCCTTCACGTCGTCGTCAGAAGAGGAGGAGGAGGAGGAGGAGGAGGAGGAGGAGGAGGAGGAAAAAGAGGAGGAGGAGGAGGACGACGACGACGAGAATCGTCAGGAAGACCAGGAGCAGGAAGAGGACGACAGGAAGGACCAGGGAGCAGGACGGGAGGATGCTGGAGCTGGGAGGGGCGAGGGCGGGGCAGAGGGAGCGAGTGAGGGAGGGAGGCGGGCTGAAGGCGCGGGGGCGGAGGCGCAGGGGGGGGCCTCTGGGAGGCCCCCGGAGGTGCAGATCCTCGAGGAAGCGCAACCAGGGCTTCGGCTGGGGTGCCCCTTTCGGAAGTGTGGGTACAGTCAGGAGGAAGAGGAGGAGGAGGAGGAGGAGGGGGAGGAGGAGGAGGAGGAGGAGGAGGAGGAGGGAGGAGGAGGAGAGGAGGAGGGGGGAGGGCTGGTGTGCCCCATTCGGAAGTGTGGGTACAGTCAGGAGGAAAGAGGAGGAAAGAGGAAGGAGGAGGAGGAGGAGGAGGAGGAGAGGAGGAGATGAGGGAGGAGGGGAGGCGGAGGTACAGTAGGAGGAAGAGGAGGAGAGGAGGAGGAGAGGAGGAGGAGGAGGAGGAGGAGGAGGAGGAGGAGGAGGAGGGGGAGGGGGAGGGGAGGAGAGGAGGATTCAACCGGCGCATGTGGACCTGCAACGGGCGCCGTGCCCCTGCGGGAGCGGCGCGGCCCGTCGCCAGAAAGCAGGCGGTATTCGCCTCGGGCTCTCCTGGGGGGCCTTCCAGGAGCGCCCTCGCGCGAGGTCCACGAGTCCGCACTCCATGGTAACTCGTAACTGGTACCTGCTCCCAAAGGTCCCTCGAGCCGGGACGGCGCCAGGAGGAGGATGAGGAGGAAGGAGGAGGAGGAGGAGGAGGAGGAGGAGGAGGAGGAGGGAGGAAGGAGGAGGAGGAGGAGGAGGAGGAGGAGGAGGAGGGAGGAGGAGGAGGAGGAGGAGGAGGAGGAGGAGGAGGGAGGAAGGAGGAGGAGGACCAGTTGAAACCCAAGAGTCATCAACGATGTTGGAATTAACCCTCCCTCCAAGCTCCCTCTTCACAGTCCCCTACAACGGTTTTTTTCAAATGAGGAACGGCCTCGTTGGAAAAACAACACTTTGAAGATCCTGAAGCGTGCCAGAACATTGTTCTCGGGGTTTCAACGCCGCGTATCAACCTGACTGCTGCGTCTGGACGATCCAGAATCATGCCATAATGCCATGTTTGGATTGCAACACAGCGAATCAACATAATTGTTGCGCCCGCATAATCCTGAATCCTTCCAGAACACCATTTCTGGTACGCGGATCATGAGAATATGTGAAACTTTTGCGTTTTTGAAAAATTTGAACAAAAAACGAATGTGCGCGACGCTAAGGCGAAATCCACATTTTGAAAAGGAACCGCCCTCAATCCGTGAAACTCCTCTTGCAAATTCTGTAAAACGAATGTGCGCGGCGCTAGGGCGAGAGCCACATTTTGAAAACGACCCGCCCTCAATCCTTGAAGCTCTTCTGCACATTGTTAAAACGAATTTGCGCGGCGCTGAGGCGAGAGCCACATGTTGAAAGCCACCCGCCCTCAATCCGTTTAACTCTTGCAAATGTTTAATGCGAATGTGCGCGGCGCTCAGGCGAGAGCTACATTTTGAAAAAGGAGCCGCTTTCAATTCGCGAAACTCGTGCAATTTGTTGAAATGAAAGCGCGCGGCGCTAAGGCGAAATCCACATGTTGAAAAGGAACCGCCTTCAATCCGTGAAACTCTTGCAAAGTTTACAAACGAATGCGCGCGGCGCTAAGGCGAGAACCACATTTTGAAAACCACCCGCCCTCCATCTGTGAAACTGTTGCCAGTTTTTCAGCTTCAGGGTCATGAGTGGTGGGGAAGTCTCCGGCGAAACGCCTGGCCCGCCTTACAAATTGGCCTCGGGGCGGTACAGGGAGGAGTTATCTCTAAGGAGAAGGGAGGAAGGGAGGAAGGGAGGAAGGAGGAGGAGGAGGAGCAGAAGGAGGACGAGGACGAGGAGGAGGAGGAGGAGGAGGAAGAGGCGGAGGAGGAAGGAGGAGGGAGGAGGGAGGAGGAGGAGGGAGGGAGTAGAGGAGGAGGAGGAGGAGGAGGAGGAGGAGGAGGAGAAGGAGAAGGAGGCAGGAGGGTTCTCCGAGCGGGGGTTCTCGGGAAGCCTCGCGGGGCCCCAGAATGGGCCGAGGATGCCCTCGAGCAGAAGCGGCCCTCGATTCTCATCTGCTCGGCATCGCTCGGGCGTGGTCGTTTTCTCTCGCCGAGCAGAATCGAGGAAAACATCCTGGGCCATCCGACCACGCACGAAGCCGAAGAGTGCGCGGGGAATGCACGCCCGAGCGATGGCAGGTCTGGGTGTGGCCGAAGGGCAATCTGCACACATCCGCGGATTATGCAGTGCCGGCGTTTGTGTCACAGAGAGCTCTCCAGAGAACGCGCCCTGTAGAGCCCTTCATTATCGTCCTTTTCATTATCATTAGCTCTTCCTCGCTCTTCCTCTTCGCTCTTCCTCTTCCTCTTCCTCCTCCTTTTCCTCCTCCAGCTCATCGCACGAGAACGCATTGGTTTCCCTTTCGCACTGCACCCGCGCCCTGCAGAGGGCGCACCTCGACCCTCCTCGGGCCGTCCACGATGCCCATTGCTCGGGAGGGGAGAGAACACACAGACACAATTCATCGTCGACTCCCAGAAAATATGGGAGAATATGGGAGGTGGTGGGGAAGACAAAAACCCAGAACATATGCGAAAATAGGGGGGATCGTGTTATTTGTGTGTATCTATTTGTGTGTCCCAGGGCCCCTTCAATTACTTGAAAACGATTCACCCCCGATGCTGCGAAATCTGCATCACCTCGCGAGCGAATGCGCGGCCCTCACGAGGATGGCGCACACAAATTTATCTTCAAGTGTCGTACTGCTCTTTGTCCTCCTTTCGGCAACACCCAAACATACTTATACTACATGTGCGTCGCCCCCCCAGGGGCGACGCGCGCACCGAGAAATCTTATAGCATATGCGTCGTGGCGGGCGCTTCCTGGCCACACCGCTCGGGAAACGATATACTGCAAGATGGGTATACTGTATGTTCGGGTCGGACGCGCGCCTCCAAGGAGGACATATAGTATTAGTATGCCCATGTGCGTCCCATCCTTAATCTCATCCTCCTCCTCCTCCTCCTCCTCCTCTTCCTCCCCCTCCTCCTCCTCCTCCTCCTCCTCCTCCTCCTCCTCCTCCTCCTCGCGGGTTTCTTGGACCTGCAGACCGGCCCCTTTTCACGGCGCCTCCGGCGCGCCCCGCGCGTGCCAGGAAGGGGGGCGCCCGGCGCCGATCCAAGAAGCCCGAGCGGGCCTCCAAGAGTTTAGCTCCTGCTCCTCCTCCTCCTCCTCCTCCTCCTCCTCCTCCTCCTCCCTCCTCCACCCCCTCCTCCTCCTCCTCCTCTCCTCCTCCTCCTCCTCCTCCCCTCCTCCTCCTCCTCCTCCTCCTCCTCCTCCTCCTCTACGTACGTATGGTTTTGTGTTCTGCGCTCGTGCGGATGATTTGTCCTCTGGTCGTGTCCAGTCGGGTTTGGGGTTGCTCGATCCGCGCGTCTTCGCCATGGACGACTTTTTGTCCGCGGCCGAGTGCGCCTTCCTCGTCGGAAGGACGGCCGGCAGGCGCGCATAATGGGGGGGAGGAGGAGGAGGAGGAGGAGGAGGAGGAGGAGGAGGAGGAGGAGGAGGAGGAGGAGGAGGAGGAGGAGGAGGAGGAGGAGGAGCAGCATCAGCAGCAGCAGCAGCAGCAGCAGCAGAGGAGCAGCAGGAGGCGCAGCGGAGGATCAGCAGAGGAGGAGGAGGAGGAGGAGGAGGCGGAGGAGGAGGGAGTCAGGGACAGGGTTGCGAGGAGGAGGAGGAGGAGGAGGAGGAGGAGGAGGAGGAGGAGGAGACGAGGAGAGAGGACGAGGAGGACGAGGAGGAGGAGGAGGAGGAGGAGGAGGAGGACGAGGACGAGGACGAGGACCAGGAGGAGGAGGGTTGGAGGAGGGAGGGCAGGGCAGCCCAGCAGGCTCGAGGACGCCGTGGGCGGCGAGCAGCACCTCCGGCTGACGGCGGAGGAGGAGCGCGGCAGCCCCATTCGAAAGCCCCGGGGGAGGGCGCGCCCGCGGAGTCGGCTCGCGGCCCCCGGGTCGGAGGCCCGACTCGGCGGTTTCCGCTCGGGCATCGCGGCAGCAGGGGGACGGGGACGGGGAGGGGAAGGGAGGGGGAGGAAGGGGGGGAGAAGGAAGGGGGGGCGGGAGGGGGAGGGAGAGGGAAGCGGGGGAGGAGGAAGAGGGAGGGGGTAGGAGTTTTGAGAGGGAGGGGAGGAGTAGGAGAGAGGAGAGGAGGAGGAGGAGGAGGAGGAGGAGGAGGAGTAGGAGATGAGGAGGAGGAGGAGGACGAGGAGGAGGAGGGACGAGGGAAGAGGGTGGAGGGGGAGGGAGAGGGAGATTGGAGGGAGAGTACGAGAGAGCGAGGGAGCGAGAGAGGGAAGACGACTACCATCACCACTACGACCAATCTACCACCACTACCACCTCAGATGCTGCTGCTCCAGCTCCTGCTGCAACTGCCACGGCGCACCACTGCAGCTCCCAGCGTCTCTGTTGCTAAAGTGGGGGCCCATGCCAAGAAACACCCTGCTTGGCTACAGGGTGCCATGGGCTTCTTGGGCTTCGATGGTTTTGCAGTGGAAGGCGTGACGCTTCCACACCAAAAACCAATGGACGTCCTGGGGTCTCAAGGGTTGGGTTTCTTGTGGAAAGTCTCTTGTGGACTGGCTTCCATTGTACAGTCGGGGCCTTGAAGAAGGAACCCTTTTCGTTTGGGAGGGGCTCAGTGTTCCTCGATTATTTTGCAGTTTCCCTTAGGTTGTCCATGGGAAATCGAAGTTTAACTTAGAGAAAAAAGGGGCCTCGTTCCTTATTTAGGGTTCCTTAGGTCAACGCCCCGACTGTACTGACTGGCACCACTGCTGCCAACGACTGCTGCCGCCGCTCCGCTGCACTGTCCTCGGGGAGGCCCCCCCCCCGACTCCGCAGGCGGCCCCCCTCCCAGGCTTTCGCGCCGTGCTCCAGCACATCGCGAAGCGGACCCACCGCGCGGCGCGGATCCCAGAGGGCGAGGCGCAGGGTGGGGGCGACGACGACGACGACGACGACGACGACGACGACGACGACGACGACGACGACGACGACGACGACGGCGGCGGCGGCGGCG